CCATTGATAAGAATGTTGTTTATTGGTCCAGTGGTGAGGATTTTTGTTTTCTTTACATTGAGATGTAATCCATACCAAAGGCTGTGCTCTTTGATGTATGCCACATGACGTATGATGGTCCAGAACAGCTAGATTCTGTGTCACCCACAGCACACCTGTCTTGATGATTGTAGAAAACGTCCGGCACTGCTTACGTGCGGACAGTGCTTTTGTTCTGAAAGGTTTAACGGTGCGAGAGTGCAGACTTCGACTTCCGTACCGTGTCCTAGCATTATCTGGCTAATTAGCTCCCAAAAATATTACCGTGAAGAGCACCAAGGCCCCCAAAGGCGGCAAGACTAGCTTGTGACAGCAGCGGCGAGAGGCAGAGGTCAAGTATGTGGATGTGGACAGAACTTCCTGAGCAACACGAAGGGGGCCATCTGGTGACTTAAGCGCACTGCACTCAACACTCACGATGACCCACAAAGCAGAGAGAACATGGTTTAGGCTGTGGAGGGGTCAGCTCCACTGAAGCGACCAGGCGGACGGAAATGCTTGCCAGACGAGGAGAGGCTGTTGGTAACTGTGGATTGAGGACTGAACCCAGAAGTGCATCCCTGTCTGGGCGCGTTGATGGTCACTGCTCCGCGCAGCACGGAGCTGATTCTGGACACTTACAGAGACAGCAGGACCAGACTCCCACGCGCCTTCACCAACGCTCGACTGAACACGAAGAAAACGGGCCAAGTGAAGCCACATTTTCATTGCTTTTTTCACATACAGGTGACAAAGTCTCTTTGGTACGACAGCCAACCTTGACAAGTTATAATCTTTTTCATAAATAGAAGCAACGTGGGTATTAACAATCAGTGATCTGTCTCGCTCTCCAGATAACCCTTCTCTCCATCCACGGTTTAAACGGACCTCTCAAATGTTGACACAGTCTGTGATACGAAGGGCTTTGAACAGTTTGTGGAAAAATGAAATGAAAAGATAATGGAATTTCCTTACAAACTCTCTGAAGCCCTGTCATATGGTGATGGGTTGAACTGTGTCCCCTAAACAGGCTGACGTTCTCAACCTGCCCTGGTACCCGTGAAGGGGACCTTGTCTGGAAACAGGGTCCTTTCAGATGAAATATCAGTCAGCTTCATACCAGGTCACTGGGGAGCAGGGTGGATCCTCATAGCAGCTGAGGGGCGTCCTTATACAAGAGGAGACGAGGCAGAGGAAGGAGGCTGTGTGACGCATTAGCTGTACCCCAGGAACGCCTGGTACCCAGAAACCAGGAGAGAGGCAGGGACACAGTCTCCCCGAGAGCTGAGGAGCACCTGATCTCCAGAATCCAGGAAGGAGGCAGAGACAGCGTCACCCCGAGAGCTTTGAGAAGAAATGAACACAGCCGACACCCTGGTCTTCTCGGATCCCCAGAATCCAGGGCTGTGAGACAGTACATTTCTGTTCATAAAGGCTGCTCAGTTAGGGGTTATGGTAAATGTTAAATGTTAAAATAAAACCCAAACCCCAAGCCCACTGCCATCAAGCTCATTTCCGCCCATGGAAACGGGAAGGCAGAGCACAACAGCCCCATGGGGTTCCACAGCCATCATCTTTGGGGAAGTGGAGTGTCCCCCATCTTTCTCTAACAGAGGGAACGGCAGCTTCGAACCACCAACCTTTCCGTTAACAGTGGAATGCTTAACCACAGTGCCACTAGGGCTCCTCAGATGCTAAAATGAGTCAACAGTGAAGCTCCAGGTAAGACCTTACCAGAAGGTCTGCTTGGCTGTCTGGGTGATGTTGGCCGACACCTCCACGTCTATGTAGTCATAGTGCAGCGCCCCCGGGTCCGTGGACGAGCCCGTCTCTGCAAGCAGGATCCCAACCCACCTGCCCATGTCTTCTGAGGATGAGGCCTGTTGGGGAGAGAACAAAAAGGCAGTTGGTTTCCGTGATGGGCAGCTTGGCGGCATACACCTATGATGGTCACATAACAGAATTGATATAGATGTGCAGATGGGAAAAGCCAGGTGGATAAATAGCCTATTATTACCTACATCCTTGAAGCAATCAGCCCTGGCTCATTGTGACCCGTGTACCACAGAACGAAACCCTGCCAGGTCCTGTGAGGTCCTCACAATCGATACGTTTCAGCCCTTCGCTGCAGTCATTGGGCCGATTCATCTCGTTGGGGGCTTTCCTCCTCTGTTAACCCTCTCCATGGACATTCTGTTGCGGTAAAGATCAAAGCTTTTCCATTTTCCCAGGAAGTTTTTCAGTAAAGGGACCATGAAATAGGAACAATGATGGAGGACGAAGATGTTCAAAAGAGTGAGAGTGTGGTCCTCACCTATGCAGAGGGCACTCCGGCATGCACACTGGGCTCTGTGTAGGGAAAGAGACGGTCACACCAAAGGAAACCCAGGATGTGGCCTGATGACACCTTCCACTTGTGTAGGAAACAGGCCATTTTGGGGATAGACACAGAAACTGATGTGGTCAGTGTGGACTCAGCTCAAGGAAGTTGTTTAGAAAAGAACCACCATTTGTGAGTTGGCTCTGACTCATAGCCACTCTGTGTGTGTAAGAGTAGAACTGAGCTCCGTTGCGCTCTTAGGGGCTGTTTTTTCGGAAGGAGATCTCCAGGACTTTCTTCCGTGGTACTGCTGGGTGGACTTGAACCCCTAGCTGAGTGAGATCACCGCCATGCTGAAACTCCACTGTTAGGAAGCATCACCATTTGGCAGTAGGAGCGGGTCATGAGGAAGCACCTCTACCCTGGTGCTGCCCCAACCCTGATGATCATACAGCTTGGGGACCTTGTCGAGAATTGGCTTCAAGCAGTTTATTGTGTTTCTCGTGGGAAGAGGGCATCACATAAGAGGGCTTTCAAAAAGCTCATGCGAAAAACGGAATTCAAAAATAATGGCATTTTCCCATGAACTGCTTAAAGTCCCGCGTAACCAACTTAGGCTGAGATAAGTTGTGATTTTTGGGAATAGGATATTTTGAGCGCTCTTCTACATGCAACTTTTAAAGACATTAGAAAAGCCCCTAAGATCTGAATTACTATAGATGAACAATAATTTATCCTGTATTAAGATGAAGGTGCACGACCAGGCAGTGTTTCGTTCCGTTGTGCGTAGGGTCGCTGTGAGTTGGACCTGACTTGACAGCCACTAACAAGAAGATAAAAAAGTAGAATAAAATATTTTAAGTAGAGAAAGCTGTTAAGGATGGAATATGCATTGTCAGCTGACTGGGGCAGGATCCCCAGTGCTCTGGAATCATCTTCCACTTTGTGGTGTGCAAACCCACACCCAGAGGGTGGTACTGAGGCAGGACACACTCTAAAGAGTTAGACTGTGTCTCTAGGAACACAAAAGACACAGAACAAGTGAGCAAGGGACCCTGGTGGCGGAATTAGTTAGTTGACTTGGCTGTGACTCATGGGAGAAAGCTGAGGCTTTCTGTTCCCGTAAAGATTTCCAACCTCAGAAACCCTATACAGGGGTATTATGAGTCCCCGGCACACCACCACCACCAAACAGGAGAGCAGTGATTCTGAGGACCCTACTACCTGGTGTGGCGCTGTGAGGTAATGTGCCAGATTGTAAAGCCGTTTGAACTGCAAGATCGGTGGTTCAAGCTCACCAGTCGCTCGTTGGAAACCCTATACAGGGTCGCTATGGGTCGGAACCGACTCGACGGCACTTAACAACAACAACTACCACTGAGGAAGAAGAGGTGGGGGTAGACCTCATCATTTGGACCAGGGTCCCTGTGCTAGGAATCTCCTGGTGGTGGTGGTTACGTGCCATGGAGTCGGTTCCGACTCATAGCGACCCTGTACAGGGTTTCCGAGGCTGTAAATCTTTATGGGAGCAGAAAGCCTCATCTTCCTCCCGCGGAACAGATGGTAGTTTCGAACTGCTGACCTTAAGGTTCGCAGCCTGATTCGTAACCACTACGCTACCAGAGCTCCTTAGGAATCTCCTAGACCCAGGGAAAGACTGATGCCAAGACTCCAAGGAACGCTGGGACCACAGAGGTTGAAATTAGACAAGGACCTTCCTCCACATCTGACAGAGAGAGAGAAAGCAAGCCTTCCCCGAGAGATGTTGCCCTGAATCCAAATGTCTATTCCTCCAAACTGTGAGAGGAATTTCTGTCTGTGAATGCCACCCCTTTGTGGTCTTTCTGTCATAGCAGCTCTAGAGAGCTGAGACAAAAGCTGACGGATGTAGTTAAGGACTTAGGTGCCTCTGCTCTGTCTGCTTTTAAAGTTCTAAAATAGTGTCCAAAGAAACTCTAAGACGCTTACACATCCAAGGCTCCTTGGAAACCCAGAATGTTCTTCTGTTGATTGGCTCAGTAGCCCAACTGTTAAGGAAACCTAGAAAATTCCAAGGGAGCAGCTAAAGAAAACTACTCAAAGGTAGACCATAGTGAGGAAAACGAAACAAAACAAAACAAAAAGCCACGTTTTATTGGAAATTGTTAAATAAATTATTTTCTGGCTGTCTTTGAAAAGCAACTCGTCTGTGGAACTGTGATCTAGGCTTAGTTTGTTTGTTAGAATTTTTTTTTTTTTTTTACAAAAGATGGACCATGGAAAAGGAAGACAGGAGAAAGGAGCATTTGAATTATGATTCGGTGGAGAAAACTGAATGTACTGTGGACTGCCAAGAAAACAAATCTTTCGTAGCAGATAAACAACCACAAGACTCCTTGGAAGTAAGGCGGTGAGATCTCCACTCACTTCGTGTGACAATGCCAACAAGAGGGACCCCCTCCCTAGAAAGGGGGTGCCATGGCTGGTTACGGAGAAAAAAATTAACCAAGCCATCCATGGGACGGATAGGCACAGTGGCCAACAGTGGACTCCAGTCACCAAAGAGCCCCAGGATGGCACAGTGCCAGAAACGTTGCCTTCTGTTGTCCGGACGCTGGAGCTGACTCGTCAGCAGAGGGCAACAATGTGTGGGGGTGTGCACTGAAGACCCCCGCCCACAGTGCACAGAGGGACATGGGTGAACAAAGTTTACATGTGTGATTCAGTAAAAGGTGTCAGGGTGCTGTTGGCAAGGGATCAACAGAAGACAATGAGCAACTTGAGAGGAAAGGAATGGAGTCAGCAGGCATTTGGACATAGAGTCAGAATTGGTGTGGGTGCAGCTCTGTACCTCCAACACGGCCACCTCTTGCCCGTTGCGAAGCAGCCGGAAGGTGAGGGGGTGCTTGGGGTCCAGCCCGGGGATCACTTCGCAGCCGTGCAGAGGGATGGACACGATATGGGTCTTCAGGTCGGTTCGGTCCTTGTGGAGGATGAGCTTATTGTCTCGGACCCGACACCAGCGCTCCCGCCAGCGGCTGTTGGACAGCACATTCAGGTAGCCTGGGGAGACAAGGGCCCCACCTTGTAACCTTCCAGAAAAATCAAGTGCTCTGAAGACATTTCCATCTACTCACGCTTAAATCCAGCTGATGTTGAGTCTGCTCCAGCTCACAGCGCCCCTGTGTGTGTCAGAGTAGAACTGTGC